GATGGCCACGCACGTATGCAGCATCTTCAGTAACCCATCAGTGGTAACATAGTCTTCCTTATGTAAGAATTTCCCAAGTTTGTGAAGACAATGAATTTAGCGACTCAAATGCCGTGCTACTGGATGGATGCCCGAAGATGCATCCTTGTAGTTATGCACAATAAACGTCGAGGGAAGAGTTGCAGGGTTGCAAGTGCCGCATAGATAATGAGGTGTAATACTGAGCGGGGTAGAATGAAGCGGCTTCCAGGTATATACACGGTGATTGCAGCCGGCTAACATGCAGTTGTGATACGGAGCCTGTGATGCTAGCAGCACAATGTGTTTACGACGCAGCTACGATCCCGTATGAATGTGTGTTTGCGAACGTCACAGACAATATGAAAGGTCTGCAGAGCAAGGTAGGATAGTCCAGTAGTTATGGCTCACCACAACTAATTCGGCCGCCGCAATCAATCACAAGCGCAAACCACTGCCGGTCGAGGGTCCAGTGAACTGCGCCCCTGGTTTGTAACAATGTCGCCGGTTCGTAATCCGCGCTGGCTGGATGTCCTCGCAGTATACTCAGCCCACATGCGACTGGTGGTGGTCGCGCGGCAGCGAAGCACCGTTACGGCGTACAGTTGACATCATTTAGTATTATTATTATTCTAGGGGCGTGATAGGGACATTTGTGGCCAATTTCTACGCAAGTACACCGTCATGTGTTGAATGAACAAACATCCAGAGTGCTTCCGGTTTGTGATATCGAAGGAGAGGTTGGTAGCTTAGTTGGTGGTCTGAATGTTCGTCGAGCTCGGCAATTTGGTTGCAAACGTTTCATCCCCACTCGAGGTGACCTCGTGAGTGCGCGTTTATGTAGCGGAGAAGCGCGGTACGAAGCGTCAGTGAGTGTGAGTGATCGATCTTCTAGCCATCAGTCTGAGTTTGGATCGTTCGACGGGCACATGACCATGGAAATCGACCTCTGATTCTTACCTCGTAGCGCAACCGCGCTTGCCTCTTCGGTTGTCGTTTGACGCAATTGTCCAGCGTTCTCTTCGGTTAGATTAAGTCGACTAATTCGGTGATCTTTCAGCCGAAGCGATGCATATATAGCATCTATTTCAACGCGTCGGTTAATGGTATTGTCCGTAGAATACCATGCTTCCAAGAACTCTCCAGCTTGCCTAGAAGCTACACGGGCTAGCATCTTTACGTTCTCTAGGTCGAAGTGGTGGCCTTCTTGGTCTAACTGCATGGAAACCAGTGAATGCGGTCGTGTTTCTGTATAGCCATTTTGTGTTCGCTGATCCGTGTTGAAAATTTCTTTCCAATTTATCCGATGTGTTTGTCACACGCTTTACAATTTATTTTGTAGATGGGTCAGGCTTGCCATCACAGTCGCACTGTTCAAGTAGCTATACAATGCGGGAAATTATTCTCAATGTGCCAAAGGCCTTCACAGTGTTGGCCAGTTTGAACCCTTATAAATCAGCCGGTCCTGACAGTGTACATCCCACCATAGTTAAGCCGCTGGCTGATATCCTTCAGTATCCTGTAGCGGAGTTATTCAACCAGTCTCTTCAAGAAGGCAAGCTGCCACGTGATTGGAAGGAGGCGACCATTGTTGACAACTACAAGAGGGGTTCTAGATCGGTGCCTCTTAATTCTAGACCTGTTAGTTTGACCAGCATCATGCTGAAGTGCTTGGAAAAGCTTATAAGAAATAGGATCTGTGAGCACTTGACAATGTAACAGCATGGCTTTCTTAAAAAGAAGTCGTGTCTTACTAATTTATTGTGCTTTTAAGATGAGATTACCTGGTGTCTTGATAGTGGGATGTCGGTAGAGGTGTGCTGCTTGGACTTCAGTAAAGCCTTTGACTCAGTGAATCATCGATTTTTAATTGAGAAGCTGACATGGTTTGGATTGCATCGTCAACTATTACTGTGGCTCTCTGAATTCTCACATGGAAGGACATTCAGAGTCAGCGTTGGGGAAGCGAGTTCTAGAGTGGGCCATACCTACAGCGGTGTTCCCCAAGGTTCGGTACTGGGTCCATTGTTATTCCTTATGTCTATAAATCACTTGGCTCCTCTTCTTAAGGATCCCTGCTATATCTCCGCAAATGACTTGAAGCTAGTCAGTAGGGGAAACCGAGCGCCATTGGCTAAGGACATCATCACTATGGTGAATTGGTCGAGCCAATGGGATCTACCTCTGAATGCCAATAAGTGTCAACTATTGACCAATAGTGGCAGCGGAATTGCAGTGCAGTCTCCTGCCGGATCTCTGTCATTGCAGTGTACTGATGAAGCCCACGATCTAAGTGTCATCATAGTGAATAATTTTAAGCCCTCGGCATAGTGTCGCCATGCTGCCAATAAAGCGCGACAAGAGTTGTTTCGCCTTAGGAGGGCGCTGAGTAACACTAAAGCAGAAGTATTCTTGCCCTTATATAAAGCAGTGGTCAGGGCACATCTGGAGTATTGTGTGCAGGCCTGGGCACCCTACCTCCTTAGTGACGCCATGGGTAGAGAAAAGATACAGAAACTTGCGGCGAGGAGGATCGAAGGTCAACAAGGGAAATCATACGAAGATCGTCTAAGTAGCTTGGGATTATTTTCCTTGGAACGGCGTAGGTTGAGAGGGGTTTGATAGAGATTTTTAAGATCATTAAGGGACTTAGTGGTATTAGTCCCACCCATCTGTTTGAATTTGCTATCTCAGACTACTAGCGCGGGCATCGCCTGAAGCTCAAACATCATAGAGCTCGTTTGGACAGCAGGGCAAAATTTTTTACGAACCGAGTAGTTAACATCTGGAATAAACGTCCTTCTGATTTAGTGGAATGAGTCTGTAGAAGCCTTCAAAACGGGTTCAGATGAGTGTTGGTCTGCGCTTTTCTCAGAGATATTGTAACTGTAGTGGAATTTGTAGTGTACTTCAATGCTGACACATGAAAGTGAAAAGATTGCTCTTGTTCTTGCTTCATTCCTTTGCAGAAGTTCGAAGAGTTAATCCAAGGTCGAAGTGCCGGAGGCCACTTAACTTACCGGCACAAGAAACTGGACGCTCTTTAGGCGAAAGCCTCTATCGTCCGCTCTACCTGACTGCATTGTTTGACTTAGTCTTTCGGCTTTGAAAGCAATTCTCTCGAAGTACAAGTTCGTTTGTTGACTACGAAGATTCCACGTGGTCGTAGCAATCTCGATGTTGGTTTTGCATTGCTCTCCGAGCTGAATGATTAGTCAGCAAACGTTTTGCTGCCAGACTGGGCGACATCATCAATGTGGCATTAAGGTCCTGTTTCACATAGCCTCGTAAGGGACTTGCAGATCTAAGTGCTTATCGATCGAGTTCTGCTTTGAATACACCGGGCTTCAACAAACGAATGTGCTTGCCGGCTTGTGGCTCTTGCGGGGATTTTCACGCGCTCCAAGTCGAATTGGTGGTCTTCGGCATCCATATGAACGGACATCAAAGAGTTCTTATCATGATGGCGGATGGCTAGGTTATGTTCATGTAGCCGTGTGCCAAGAATTTTTTCCAGTTTGTCCTACGTCTGCAAAATAATCATTTAGCTCGGAGAGCAGTGCAAAACCTACATCCGCATCCCGAGCTACGGATATTATCTACTATTACAAATCTCGATGTTAGTTCAGACACGTTCTTGATGATGCGGATAGCTTAATAACTGAAACACTTGGAAGGACATTAGTTAAGATACATGTCAAGAGTGAACGGCTGCACCAAAGATGGAGATCTGGTAAAGTTGTAGAGCACTATTTCGTCTATCCGATTGATTCGAAGAAATAGGCAGATTGGGATGTTGGGGAAATTGTCCCAAGGGCGTACACAAAACACACATAAAACGCAATGCGTCGGGTAGAGATCAAGCTTGGCGCACAGGTGCGTCCGAGTACTATTATATAAGCAACGTGGCAATCCAGGATGCGGTTTACTCTTCCAGTCTGATGGGGATAGCGAGCGCGTAACACTGAAGTCCACGAGTTGGTGTTTTGAAACAGATGCGCGGGAGATGTCCGCTGAACTCGCGCCATCCACGAGATCCATATCGTGTTCCTCACAACTAATGAGCGCAAACATTGGCGAATACTATGGATATTTCGGCCCATCCAAGAGGTGCTTATATAGGAGCCGGAAAAGCAAAATCCGAAAATCGCGTGCTGTCCCGTCAGAAAAGGACTGGCTAACTGGTGCGGTTGAGACGTACAACCTATAACCCAACAACTGACCTATGCTGTATTCACATTCTGTACAAGTTGCTTAGTATTAATTGTTGTGCTTTTGTGAGCTGAGTTGGAAAAAAAACAGAGTAAAGACGCTTGGACGTGTGGGAAGCATAAGAGATTATCAGCAACCACTAACCTGACAAAGTCGCAAGATAACTATGATATGAGGCTCATTATGAAGTGCGCTTTGTGACCACCTACTTTTTCCTCTGGAAACAGTTAGCAACCTCAAACGCTGGCGCTAAAACCTGTAAGACTACACAGGAAGTCAAATCAGCTCAATAACCCCACAGGTCGATCAGACAGGTGAATGGAATGGTGTGTAGTAGTAAAAGTTTCATCTGGTACTCAAAAGAGGGAATAAATGCTGTTACATGTGACAGACAGTGTCATTCATCGAAAACAATATGCTGCGCTGCTATACAACGGTTTTGAAGAGGAAGCACGAAACGCTTAGAGAACGAGCTAGAAGAGGGATCAACTTGATCGTCCGGTTGGGCATGATTACAAGGCCGTCTTTTGCGTTTACGACGTCTGAGCTGAACTAGTCGCCGACGTTCAGCAGCTCCAACAGTCGACTTCGAGACAACTGACCAGTAAGCGATTTCGCTTAAGTCCGGAAGCACTTTGACACGAACTGGCTGCGAGCTAGGAGGTAGAATGAGGGTTTCAAAGTAATCGCAGAGTTGACGAGCGGCGGAACTAGATTTCATTCTAATAAACACGGGATAAATATCTGAAGGCGATTCGGAGCAAGAATCTAACGTCGTAAGAACACTGCTCAAAGTGAGATCGCTGGGTTGTGAGTCGAAATGGGCTACTTCATTTAGTAATCCGCATTCGGACAAATATTGTTCTATGCTGAGGCGTATACGTCGAGTTAAACTGAGCGTCGGCTTAGGGACAGGGACTTGATCTTCGGGCGTGCTCGAAAGGGGAACAATCTGGTCCGCATCAGAGACCGCCACTGATGGCCAAAATATCTGTGGTATAAAAAGAAATAGCTGGAATTAGCAAGTAAGTTAAGTGTGCTTAAGCAAAAGCAATGGTAAAGCTACTTCAAACTATACCTAATGATTAAAGTAGAAATTTTGAAGACACCGTAAAACATATCAAGGAACATTAAGGTAACTGCCTAACTTATTCAATGACATGCTGTAGGAAAGCCAACGGTAAACGAAATCGAGTGTTCATGGGGTTGCATCTGTGTCGACCTCGACAAATATAAAAAGGAAATTTCGGGCTCCAAGTCACAGAAACAAACGGTCAAGTCAGTTTTCGATGTGTCGTAAAACTGAAATTCATACATCCTGTCGTGAACTAAACTTCTGCCGTGTTGTATGCCATTGGCCGTTATGAGCCCACATCGATTTCCTGACGTGGTTTCACCATTATCCTAACACAAGTGTGGCTGAGTGTCTCAGCCAGAACAGGCTGGTAGGCCGTCACGGAGTGAGCTGTCACAGGAGGGTAGATAAGATTATTACTATCATCAAGAGCAGTACATCAACTATGTGAACTGATGTTACGGTTCTGCACAACCACATTGAGCTAAGAAATAAAGAACAATAAAATGGAAAGAACAACGAGTTTGTGTTGCACCTAAGCGTCTTGAGCAAACATTCGGAGAATAGGCACGTACACCTTATCAACAACACGTGCACAAACATCTGCCCATCGTGTACAAATAAAGCGGCATCGGCGAGACAGCTTCATTGCAGATTTCACCATCATGCGTCATAATCGGCCCTTACCCCACAAATAACCCAGCACCAAACAAAATTTGAACAGGCATTCCGACTGAGACAACAGCAGACGTGCAACTGGTGCCGACTGCGAGTCATGTCCTGTAATGCCTTAAGCCAAGCACGAGGCGGGTCACGTGGGCTCCAGTCTGGAAAGCGAGACGGGCCAAGAGCTTTTACAGTCAAGAGAAACTCCTTTCCGACGCCACATATACTAGAAGGCAGTTCTAGTTTTCGAAATAAATGAACTGACTTCAGTGGTTATGCGCCCATCTCTGTCGCTGCCAAGGTTAGTGAACTGGCCAATTATCTCGAATTTCGCGCTATCAAAAGTCAAGGGGTCATCAAAGGGCTGGTGGTCCGGCAACACTACCGTTTGGTGGTGGGAAGCGCATACCAAATGATGTGACTACACTGCAGAAGTTACTCAGTATTGCCTGTGTAACGCCAATATCGTTAAACAGCATGACAACATCGTTCGCATAATCAAGATCAACAACCTGTCTGGCAGATAGCACCTTAACGCCTGCATCGTGAGATTCCGCAAAGTAAGACTCCAGGGTGAAGTATGCAAAGAAGTTGTATAAAAATAAGGAAAGTGGACAAACTTGACGAACATCATTTATGGGAAAGACATCAAACAACTCACCAAAGACTCAGATTTGGCCTGTAGTGCTTGAGTACATAATTCAAAGGAACAGCTTTCCGCGCAAGTATTTCAAACAGAATACATCGATCGATCCCTTAAGGTCGAGGAACACAACTATCGTCTCTTTGAGTTACGTGAGACGCTGTCCTGATCACTGTCGCAAAGTGACTATGTCGTATAGATAACCCAGCCCTGACCCAGTCATGAAAAAGCATGTGTTCACACCATAACAAGCCACAGACCAAGGGTGGCAGTTTCATATGTAACGTTTTACCTAATAATATTCGCTCCGACAGAGAAGTTGCACTATTTGTTGCACAGGAAATGGACAAGGCTACTGACAGCAGCAGGCGACTAAAACCGCAAGTTCGGTAACATTGCCGTAGTGGAGATGGATGCCAAGTGAAGGGGCAAAGTGGTCGAGTACAAGGCTTCTAATGAACTATATACTAAACATATGAAGTGGATAAAAATGAATAAGAGACCAAAGCAAAAGCTTCACACAAACCAGCACAACTGCCCCGGGGACATAGTTCTTCGGTAAACGTAACGCTTCCTTCTGAGACTCAAAGTCATTGGTGAGTGAGTCCGTAGTTGGCTGGCCTGCAGGATCCTGCAGAAGCGCCACCTCACTAGGCGGTTTGGTGATACATGCTTCGCCGTGGGATCGTGAATAAGTCTCTTGAGTGTCACCATTCGGGTCCGTCGCAACCTGTTCCACATCTAGTGATAGCTCCTCGGTTTTCCGATTCATGCGTTCAATCCAGCCGCGAAGCCAAGTGTAAAATTTGGACTTCCAGAACTCCCACTCGGAATGACAAAACACCCGAAGTCGCTCCCTCACAGGCTCCCCGTAGCAATCACGTAGATGCTGCGTGCGCATTTCCTCTGAATTCGCACCGAGCGTAATCAGCTCATCTAAAACAACAGGGTGAATGTGGCTGATCTTCACCGTAGTGGTTTAAGAATCAATAATTGCATCTGTTGCGGGATCGTCAACAGAATAGCATAGGGTTAAAGACAGGCGACAAAGATCCAAAAAGCAGGATGATGGTGTCAATGAACTGTCATATCAAAGCAAAAGAGGTATGTAGATGTTTCGATACGAGAAACGGAGATGATGCATGCATTTCATGCAATGTAAAATCCATTTTTTGATTTGAGTGCGAAGAAACTAAAAAAAAGACCAGGGAGTGTACTGGCAAAGCAGACCACCAACATGCAACTTGGCCAGGAAATATTGAAAGAAAGTAGACAAAAGCGGTGGAAGACGTCTCAGGTCAATTGTTCATTTGTTCTTCGAGCTTGACGGTTTTGTTGCAGACGTTTCACCACTATGCGAGATGGCATCCTCAGTGCGGTGAGATGCGGCGTTCAATCGAGGTGGTGTTAGACATCTATACCGCGGATCTCAAACAATGAAACACAGACTTTGAGGTAAAATAAGCACACAAAACTGACAAGGAACATGCGGCAGAATAACAGAACTGAGCAAAGCAAATAACGAGGAATACTTTTTATCCAAGTTAAGAAAATCTCGTTTAAGTGTAAGTTGGTGTAGCTCAGCTGCGGTGAAGAAGCATGATGTGTGCAATGCCAACCTCAGCACGAGGCACCATATGAATACCATAGAAGATTCAAGAAAATAAGCACGCGAACTGGACAGTAAATGCGCGGCAGAATGATAGAACTGAGAAAGTCACAAAATGGTGTGAAATCTAATCTACTGTTGGGTGACATTAGACAAGAGTAAGTGTAAATCAGGGGATATCCACCGACAAACCTAGAAAATAAAGTGAGAAAATGCGCGAAATAAACAGCGGAGGATAACATACTGCGTAATTTAATAAAGTGGACTAGGTTAGTTCTAGTGTAATGCGGAAATAGTTAAGTGTAAGTCACATTAGCCCAAATGCAATGAAGCATAATAAACATAACGCACATGGTTGGCGGCATCCGGTTCCGGATTTGCCTGTCCCTGTGGCCTCCATAGGACGCCTGCGCTTACAGACAGACCATGGGTGGTTTGCGCGGACGTTCGCAACAGTCTAACAAATAGACATAGAGCCAAACGAAAACATGGAAATCAGCGGATGACAGGTAGAGTCACCGCATTGTCATTATTATGGCACATAAGTTGAAGGTGAGCAACACACTTGGGCAATTTGGCCCCAAGGACAACGTTACATTTTCCTACCTATGAAATTTTTACTACTAGATTCGCAGTAGTCTAAAATCGTAGGATTGTGGATAGCAATCGACACTTGCAGAGTGTGACGTGGCACATAACCGTAAATCGATTGCGCATGTGAACGGACAACATATTTGTCCTATTTCAGTTTGTAGGTTCGTTCCATGGGCCATGAATCACAGATAGCAACATCGATAAGAGATACGCTGCAGTGTCTTTTATAGTGAGCACTTCAGGGTTGACAAAGGAGCCTGAAGTGGCTATTCCAGTTTGCGGTGTAATCCGAATAACTGTAGCCACAAATTCTTTCCAGATGTGGTTATGCCTTTGTGGCGAGCATGGTGTAGGACTAGATTAATGAAGGATGTGGGTTTCCTTCGAACACAAGCTTCATGATCATAAACAAGCGCTGTTGAGGTGGTCTAGTTCTAGCTCGGCTGGTAGTCGTTGAAACGACCCCACTCGCGGTCGAACAACTCGTATTAATAACTAAGGGAAGAGCTTAGCCGTTTGTCGGAGCCAGTGGTGAGCTGAAGATGCAGTGGTAACGTCCTGGAGCGGGAAACCAACGACAGAAGATAAAAACGCTGTTTTCCAAGTCTATTGTGAGGAAGCTTTGTCGAGGAAGGGCTATCCACACACAAAGACTGGAGCTGTAGCAATACTATGGATAAACGTCGCGGAGAGATAGCTGATCGTCCCAATCGTCATAAGGCGGGAGTTCGACAGATGATGGTCTAGACAAAATTTACGGAGCACAGATGGTATTGTGGTGGACTAAAGCAAACACTACTGCATCAGTTGTCAGTAGTGTGGTGAAAGAATGCAAAAAGGCAACCAGAGAACAACAGGCCGTAATGACTCTCCTAAAGGAAAGGAACACCTTGGAACCGCAGTTATATGCGCACGAGGAATGAACGCATAAGCACTGCACACCACACAACTACTAGGCAATGAAAGAAACTCGCGCTATGCAATCTCCAACCGGGATGACGAAGATGGATGGGTGTCCCGTTTGTCGGAACGGAAACCCTACGCATTAACTATGTTTACACAGTAAACAGTCCCGCTCGCACCTCGGGCTCTTGCATTGGTGCAGTGATCAACCAAGGAGCAACATGAAGATCTCTGGCCAGAGTCGGTTAGAGGTGTGGGGACCATCTTGGAGGTTTCCGGGGATGTGGCGGAGGCGGGTGGTCAGGACCGGCCGGGCGAAGCTGGTGGGCCTGCTAGAGCCGCTTTAAGAGGAGGGTGAAGGTAGTCCTGAAGGCGACGCAGAGGCCCTGACAAGTTGGAGTGGGCCACCGCGAAGGAAGCTTTCGTGTCCGGATTGGACAGCCCAGCAGACAGCCAGGATGCGAGGTGGCGGTTTGGTGTAGGGACCGATCTTCTCGTGGTTGCAGTCCACATCAGGAGCTTTAAGGAAGGGATTTTGCCGGGAATAAACGAACCATCAAAGTAGAAAGTACTAGTGAATCAGTTCATGGCTGGTGGCCCCCAACCAATCGCGGAACGTGTCCGGATTGCGAACGCTACTCGGCGTATGCAGCTGGAGTTGGCACAGACTACTCGAGAGCCGTGCGATGCGCCACTCGTTGCGCTGAAGGAGAAACACCATGAAAGCGTGAAGCGGTTGGATAATTGGGAATGTGTAATGTAACAGCTCGTGCAAGGTTAATAAGCTTCGTACTAAGCGCTGGGAGGAGCGAGCAAGGAGATTTTGCTTCTGCGGGAAACCGCTGCACTGAAAAAGACAATATCCGGTGAGGCGCGCGGCTGCTCGCGTACCAAGTACACGCATTCAACCTTGTTTTTCTTCGCGGATCGAGGAATGCGTACTCGGGGCGCTGAGTAGGGAGGCGATCGAAGCAATGGTGGAAGTAGACAGAACGATGGAACGGTGACTGATCGATACGAGTGCCGCAGTGTCGTTAATCAACCAACGGCGAGGCGAAAAGCCCAGTTGTGCTCGATAGTCGTGAGAGCTGTTGGCTCTTACTCAGTGGGTACTGACGGTATGACCGAACACATTGTTGGAATCGGGGGACGGAAACTAAGGTGTCTTCATCGTGTCACCAGATGCGAAACAAACCATATTGGGAGCAGATTTCCTGGAGTTCAACAAGGCTATAGTCGATTTAAAACTAAGGATTATTGACTGAATACGGGTCGCTGCCACTCATTCATCATCATCATCATGATACATGTCAGCTGGAGGTGGTGAAACACTTCCGCTATTGTACCGCAATACATAAAGGAAATACATACATACATCCAATACATAAAGGGAAAATAAATACGACAGTTGCATGCCAGCTGAGCTACCAGCAACGGATAGACATCGTTTCGGTAAGCTTCCAGCCAGCTACTAGGCAAAAAAAGTTATTATGTTTTACCCTACGAAATGAGATCGTAGATGGAGGCGGAGGCTAGAAGGGATGGGGAGGGACAAAGGAACTCCCAGCACAAACGACACTGAGGTCGACTTCTTGCCATGTCAGCAAGTGTATCCAGCCAAACGTGTTCACCCTCTTTTGGACCCCAACCAGGGAGCCGTGAAGCTCCAACCGAGGCTAGCTCCGAAGTGAGGGACTTCATTCCTCTGGATCAAGTCATCGCTTGGTCACCTCTCCTCTTCTTCCACCCACATCCCCGGTGAGCAAACAACGCACGTCGAGGGAGTCGGTGGGCTGGCATGCGCAACAGGTGGCCCAGCTATCGGAGCCTGGTGCGGGAAATAACAGTGCTGAGCGGTTCCTTACCTTTTCCTGGGCCGTAAACAAGGCGTCGAACACGCGCGTTACTCACGCGGTGTTCCCACCAGATGTGAGCCAAACTGCGAAGGCACCGATGGTCGAACGTAACTAGCCTCTTCATGTCCGCCGATCTTAGGGGCCAGGTTTCGAAACCGTACAGTAAGGTCGAACGTATCGCTGCATTGTACACTCTACGCTTCAGGGCGAGATTAATGTCGCGCCGCCGCCATAGGTGGCGAAGGTTAGCAAAACTACTTCGAGCTTTCGCTATACGGCTGGTGATCTCGTCTTCGATCCCAAGGGCGCTGATACAACTTCCCAGGTAACTGAATTTCTGAACGACTTCCACTGCCGCCACTCATTGGCCGTGGAGAAACGATACATGCGCAATCGGTTGTTGCCCCTTTACACTTGAGCCCGACCTTGCAGTCCTTGATCACAAAGTAGCACCCCTTGTTTACGGATGACGGCAGCCCGTATGGATCTTGCAACGACCGAGCACACCATCCCGCTAAGCTGCCAGACGAATCGGCCCCTTGGACCGCGAGGGATACTAATCCATCTGGAGGCTGAAATGAAGAGGCAAGTACAGATGCTGGACAAGGATGTGATTCTAGAACAAAAGACCATCTGGTGAGCAATTGCTTTCAATGATTCATCCTCAGACCATTACAATCATATGGAGGCTAGAAAGAGAAATCGACCCAGTTAGTTCAAAAAGAATTGATCACGTGTAGGTCAATGTCAGAGTGGAAAAAAAACGAATTAGGTCTTAGAGGGCTAGATGTTCGCTACCGCGTCTGACCGAAGGCAGTCGACCTCGGCGTCTTCCATCTTCGCTGGCCAGGGAAGCTGGAGAGCCTGGACCAGCTTCTTCTGTGAGCATAAGGACGGCTGGAACAATCGAATGCATATTGCTTCAGCTGTCGCAAGCATCCGAAGGCGGTAACCTTTCGTTCGGTGCGGTGGAA